TGTAAGAGCTTAATAAAACATTATAAGAAGTGCACATTAAAGTCTTATCCATAAAATCTCTCTCTCCCTTGCATTATCATCAACATGCACACAGCAAATTACACAAAAACACTTACAACTAACAGTAAAACAATATATACAGAGCTTGTGTCTTTTCGGGGGGTGCTTAATAAACTAGTAAACTTTATATCCGTAAAACAACTCCTATGAACTGTAATAAAGTGCACGCTCTCCCTTTCATTACTGCTGTAACTAGTATCGCTCCGGGGACTATAAGCTGGATCATGAACAGTTGGTACTGATCCATCCTTGAGTAACAACTTTTTAGCAAAACCTATGTTTTGTATTGTCCCTTTGTATTGACCCTTATTCACAAAGCAGTCTGGTGTAAAATGATTCACGCAGACACAAACAAATTTTATTTTTGAAGGGAATTTGCCCCCATAAACTTAAATTAATCCACTGCGTCTTCAGCATCTCTGATGTCGGGAGTAAATGAATGTTATGTTCACTCTTACATCCAACAACATTGCTTACAAGACATTATTGCTGCTCGAGAACGGAGAAAATGGTGGACAGTGTACAACTGGCTGAGGGCGGAAACAATGCCTATACGCTAACAGTCCGTCAGCGGGGTCATACTGCTCAGAAAATCAAAACGGCTTGATAATGGAGATGGTTAAGGTTTTTTGGAGTTATCATTGTAGGGTGGTTGTGGTCACACACTGCTGGGACACATTCATATGCAAACACCATGTAAAATGTAATTTTGCATCCAATGTCCCCTTTAAAAGAGACCCGACTATTTGAAATGTTTAAATCAGAGGGAAAAAACCTACTTGCGCAAAGGCATAAGTGCACCTCAGGAATCAGAAATAAAATGACCACTTTAAAAAGTAGTTTCCTGTTTATTATTAACATGCCTGTAAATCAATTGTAATCATTAGATTAGCATTCCGAAATTATTTTACACTAGCTTATATAGCAATTCTGTCATGTTCTTGTATTTTCAGGAGTTCCTCGACAGGCGTAAGATGACAGAGTTTGGTAATCTGTCTTTAGTGGATGAAGGCACAGGGGATGGAGACGGAATAGAGCTCAGTCTTCCCGGAGTCAAGAGAGGTGAGTCCACTCCTCATTTATCAATAAACCTGCCAATCAGTTTTTAGCGTTATGCTTTTAGGAGCATTGAAAGTATAATTGGATATAATGTTGCTCTAATGCCTTTCTCTCCATATCTCTCAGGTGATATGAGCTCCAGACGCTTTAAACCAGAGATCCGTGTTAGCTCTCTCCACTTCTCACCTACTGGTATAGTTTTTGTTTATACAGTACAACACATTAAGAGCGATATAACAAATTGCACATCAGTAATCCTTTCAGTATATTTCTAAACATTTCCAACATTCCAAGACGTCCCAACATTTTCATTAAATAATGAACAGAATGAAGTTTTGGCATTCTTCTCCATTCAGGACGCAGTTGGGCAGCAGCCTCCTCTGAAGGTTTGCTGATCTACTCTCTTGATGCTTCACTGGTGTTTGACCCCTATGATCTGGACATGGATGTCACACCATCAAGCATACAGCGACAGGTGACGAAAAAAGAGTGGGCATCTGCAATTCTGCTGTCTTTTCGTCTGAACGAAATTCCTCTCATAAGAGAAGTTCTGGAGGCAGTCCCTTATGACCAAAGTGCGTTCCCTTTTAAAACAGTTGTTCAAAATGCATAATTTTCTTGTCATTCTTTACATGTTATTGTTTGACGCTTCAGTTACAGTGGTATGTAGCTCACTTCCAGATGTGTATGTGGATAAGCTTCTAAACTTTGTGGCCTCAACATTGGAGAAGTCCAACCACCTGCAGTTTTACCTCAGCTGGGCTCAGTGTCTGCTCACCTTACATGGACAGAAGCTCAAGAATCGGTCAGCAACATAACTCTTTTCAGAATAAGCTCACACTGGTTATTGAATTCTTATAATAATTGTGCTGTTTTGTGTTTGTTTTTTTTGCAAAGTATTGTCAATCTCAACTATTCAACTGTTACCCAAGTAATTGAAAAAAATTAAATATATATATATATATATATATATATATATATATATATACAGAGGCTCTGTTCTTTCTTTTGATATATTGCATGTTCAAAATTTTGAACGTTTTGGCTTGCAAATTTATTTTAAAAAATGCTGGCGGGTAAAGAGATTAAAAAAATGATATATTATCTTTTTAGATAATATATAGATTAGTCCCATTTTGCAGTGCTGCTGTATGCAGAGTATCAACATTGTTGACACAGTGGTTGTGACCACTGTAAGATTGTTCATGCGTGTCATTTTCAGATCTGGAGCCATACTGCCTACTGTACAGCAGCTGCTGAAGAGCATCCAAAGACACAGTGATGATCTGTCCAAACTGTAAGCTTTTTTTCACAAATATTTACCAGTTACAAAATTCTAAAATGGAAATATATGTATTTATTAGTTTTCCTTTCTTAGTAATTTTGTGGATAAAGTTTAAATATAGTTAAATTCTCTTATTTATAATTCTCATATATATATATATATACACTCACCGGCCACTTTATTAGGTACCCCATGCTAGTAACGGGTTGGACCCCCTTTTGCCTTCAGAACTGCCTCAATTCTTCGTGGCATAGATTCAACAAGGTGCTGGAAGCATTCCTCAGGGAGTTTGGTCCATATTGACATGATGGCATCACACAGTTGCCGCAGATTTGTCGGCTGCACATCCATGATGCGAATCTCCCGTTCCACCACATCCCAAAGATGCTCTATTGGGTTGAGATCTGGTGACTGTGGAGGCCATTTTAGTACAGTGAACTCATTGTCATGTTCAAGAAACCAATTTGAAATGATTAGAGCTTTGTGACATGGTGGAAGTAGCCATCAGAGGATGGGTACATGGTGGCCATAAAGGGATGGACATGGTCAGAAACAATGCTCAGGTAGGCCGTGGCATTTAAACGATGCCCAATTGGCACTAAGGGGCCTAAAGTGTGCCAGGAAAACATCCCCCACACCATTACACCACCACCACCAGCCTGCACAGTGGTAACAAGGCATGATGGATCCATGTTCTCATTCTGTTTACGCCAAATTCTGACTCTAACATCTGAATGTCTCAACAGAAATCGAGACTCATCAGACCAGGCAACATTTTTCCAGTCTTCAACTGTTCAATTTTGGTGAGCTCTTGCAAATTGTAGCCTCTTTTTCCTATTTGTAGTGGAGATGAGTGGTACCCGGTGGAGTCTTCTGCTGTTGTAGCCCATCCGCCTCAAGGTTGTGCGTGTTGTGGCTTCACAAATGCTTTGCTGCATACCTCGGTTGTAACGAGTGATTATTTCAGTCACTGTTGCCCTTCTATCAGCTCGAACCAGTCTGGCCATTCTCCTCTGACCTCTGGCATCAACAAGGCATTTCCGCCCACAGAACTGCCGCTCACTGGATGTTTTTTCTTTTTCGGACCATTCTCTGTAAACCCTAGAGATGGTTGTGCGTGAAAATCCCAGTAGATTAGCCGTTTCTGAAATACTCAGACCAGCCCTTCTGGCACCAACAATCATGCCACGTTCAAAGTCACTCAAATCACCTTTCTTCCCCATACTGATGCTCGGTTTGAACTGCAGGAGATTGTCTTGACCATGTCTACATGCCTAAATGCACTGAGTTGCCGCCATGTAATTGGCTGCTTAGAAATTAAGTGTTAACGAGCAGTTGGACAGGTGTACCTAATAAAGTGGCCGGTGAGTGTATATATATATCACACACACACCACACACACTAGTTATTCATCAGGATTAAACATTTTTGTTTTCTTTCTAGTTGTGACTGGAACATTTACAACATTCGCTATGCCGCTGCTCTGTCCAAACAGAGAGGGATGAAAAGAACAGCAGCAGAGTCCCTCAGTGATGAAGAGTCATCATCAGAGGCAATGGACTCTGCGGGTGATGAGGAGAATATGATGAATGAGCCTATAATGGTGGAAAACTGAAATGCATATCATGAACTTTTCAAATGAAATATTACAGAGCCAGCACATCACCCAAATAAATGGAAAGCAGGTCAGGGCTAGGACAAGGAACAGGAGGAGATGTGTTCTGTTTTTTTTTGTTTTTTTTTTGTGCTGGTCTGTTTATTCTGTCAATGTTAACATAGGCATTCTGTACCTACAAACCTGCTAGAATGGACATGATGCATTTTAGATTGTTATATATAAAATGAACATGGGCTCAACTATTGATAAACCTGTTGATAATACTTTTTTTATTTTGTATTCTTGTATCCTGAAAGATGTTTTGTTTTATTGTGTAAAAAAAAAAGATTTAAATATATAAAGTGTTCAGAGTTTCACTTTAACAACATTGATCTGCTTAACCTTAACTGTCACCCCCCTTTTTGAGCTCACACTTAAAAAGGGGATGTCCAAATTTAAATGGGTGTAATTCTGGAATGCTTTTTAATAGAAAGTTGATTCTGGTCTTGTTTTTAAGGGAACACTTGGAGGTTTATGGTACAAGTGTCTGCAGTTGAAAAAAATTAATAAATAAAAAATTATAGCAATTTAAGTTTATTATAATAAAAAAGGTCTATAATAAACACATTTTTATTTTATGAAAAAATATATAATCCAAAAGAGGTTTTACCCTAAAAATGCTAGGAATTTAAACCAAAAAATATATACAAGTTGTGTTCCAAATTTGGAATTGATATCACAAACCTTGTAGATTCTGTGAGACTTTTAGCTGCTGTAACAACAAAGGACACTAGGTCTAATTTTTTCCACCATTGGGGATTCCCATGCTCCATTGATGACACTTCTTTACTACTTGATCTCACAACACCACAACACACAAAATTTGATTCTTATTTTTTTTTTATTCAAAACATTCTCAGAATATACTTTAAAAAAAAAAAGTGTATAAATTGTTTTTGAACATAGGAATAAAACAAAACCAAAAAAGTATTATCTACAGTGGTTATATAAATCCAAATGACAAACTGTTCATACAACTATATGCAACTATTTACAACTATTTGCAACTATTTACAACTATTCACAACTATTCAGAGCTAAGGATTACAAATTTTCACCATCATGCCAGCGACTGAAGCAATCTCGCTTTGGAACGAAGCAGAGAGGCAAGTCACACACACTGCAGATTACAGGTGTTTTCTGGTGGCACATTCTGCATCTTCTTCTAACTTTACTGTTAGGTTGTATGTGCTTTGGAGTGTGTCCTGCTGGATGGTGAGAAGCAGGAGCACCAGGAGCAGCAGGAGCAGCAGGAGGCGGCACCCAATCTGCAAGCTCTTGTACAAGGGCTTCCCGGAATTCCCTCTGATTTTTTGCCCTCTTGCTTTGCATTGCAGCCAGCTGCTGGTGGATAATGAAAGCATTAACCACCGCAATGTCCACAAAGTGAAAGAAAAGGGAGCGGTACCACTTTCTGGTCTTTCGAAGCACGGAGTAGTAACCGATGAGGGCATCGGACATATCCACTCCTCCCATGTGCCTGTGTAAAAAAAGCATACATAAACAAAAGTCAATACGTAAATATATAAACATATCTGAATTTTTTTTTTGCATCATCCACTGAAAAAATTCTGCTTACTTGTTGTAGTCTGACACTACTGTAGGAATAGGAACAGTCATAATGGTCCATTCTCCATCTCCTGTCTTCACTCTCCTCTGGACAGTCTGATCTCCATTTGCCGAATGGAACGAGGAACACATGAATACCTCTTGTGTCCTTCCATTGGACAAAGAGAAGCTGGTTGTCCCTTTTCCACCTTATGCTTCCCCGGGGTGCATTTTTGGGCAGCTTGTTTAGGGTGGTTTGTGGGAAGCCCACCCTGTTGTTCCTGATGGTCCCACAAGCAGAGATGTTTATCTGGAGGAGGTCCCTGAAGAGCATCGGGCTGGTGTAGAAGTTGTCCACATATAATTTGTAGCCTGACCCCAAGACCTTTTCATCCACCAGAGCCATGACCGATTCGTAGCTCAGACCTTTGCTTTGCTGGCTCTGAGCTACTGGGGATTTCCCTTCATATATGAAAAAATCCCATGTATATGCATTTAGGGAGTCTGCCAGGACAAAAAGCTTGTACCCCCACTTTGTTGGTTTCGCTTTCATGTATTGCTTCAGACAAATCCTTGCCTTTGAAGCCACCATTCTTTCATCAATGGCAATTTTCTGATGTGGGTGATAATAACTTTTACATCCTTCCCGAATCTGCTCATATACAGGTTTGACTTTGCACAGACGGTCAAACGCAGGGGTTCCTTTATTTTTTGCATTCTCAGCATCTACCTTAGGATCGCTGAGGTGGAGGGCTGAGGACACGGCCTGAAATTTCCTGCAGGACATCACTGATGCAGGAAACCTAATGCCATACAGTCTGGACCCATTCCAGTAATCTGAAACTGATGGCAGCTTCACCAAACCCATATACATTACTACTGAGAGGAATGAGAAAAAGTCCTTCAGGGAGATTTCCTGCCTTGGCCTTCTTGCTGTCTCCAGGTGCTCAGCAGCATAGCTGTTAGAATTCCGGATGATGGTCTGACAAACCGAGGATGAAAAAAAAAGTTGAAACAACTGCAGAGGACTGTAGGATTCTGTTTCAATAATTTGAGGTCCAGGTGTTCGAGCTGGTCTGAATTTTATTACTGGTGGAGAAACATCACGCTCTTCTTGGGTGTACCACCGATCATCGGTGCTAGTGGAAACACCACTAGAGCCAGATGAAGATCTTTCTCTGCCATGACCATTTTCTCTTCCTCTACCGCTGCTTCTCCCTCTTCCTCGGTTTCTGCTTCTTCCTATTCCTCTCCGTCTGTCACTGCTTCTCCCTCTTTCTCTGTCACTGCTTCTCCCTCTTCCTCTGTCACTGCTTTCCCCTCTTTCTCTCAGTCTGCCACTGCTTCTCAATCTTCCTGTGTCACTGCTTTCCCCTCTTTCTCTCAGTCTGCCACTGCTTCTCCCTCTTCCTCTCCGTCTGTCACCGCTTCTCCATCTTCCTGTGTCACTGCTTTCCCCTCTTTCTCTCAGTCTGCCACTGCTTCTCCATCTTCCTCTGTCACTGCTTTCCCCTCTTTCTCTCAGTCTGCCACTGCTTCTCCCTCTTCCTCTCCGTCTGTCACCGCTTCTCCATCTTCCTCTGTCACTGCTTCTCCCTTTTTTTTTGTCTTTGCTTCTGGCTCCTTCTCTTTCTCCAAAACTACTAGAAGCAGTAGTTGGAAATGATGCCACAGAGGTTGATGGTTGGCAGTCCTCATCAAAAGAATCATCTGAATGCCTATCACAACAATATATAAATATGTAAATATATATAGACAAAATACACACATACAAATATATATATATATATAAAATTTACAAATATAGCAATGTGTTTCATGAGATATATTTCAACAGAAATATACATAACATATCACATTTACATGCTGCTCCCTAACATATATAAAAAATATAAATATTTCAAGATATAGATATAAATATAGATATATAGAATAGGCCCACATAATTACATATCACATTTACACACTGCTCCCTATCACAAATTGGGAAAGAGTATAATGCAACTTACCGATCTAGAGATGATGCATCAGATGCATTCACTTCTGAAAAAAGTAGATCTGGCTCCTCATCACTAGATTCCTCATTCAGCTCTTCTTCACCAGATTCACAAACCTGGTCTATTACTTCTAAAAGTGTATAAAATTGGTTGTTTGGCCTCTGTGGATTCATGTCACACACCATGGAGTGAAGGTGCAAATGAAATGGCTGCTCCTGCTGATTGCCAGTTCATTTGATGCACGTTTACAAACAATCAGAAGCTGTTTTCAAACTGCACGTGGACATGTGATTAGCAACCACAGAGAATCAGCCATGGATTGGACAATGGTTGTGTAAATATCCATTTTCAAAGACCCCATAGGCCAACTGAGTTGCTGAGATCTTACAAGACTTAGATACGGCTCTGGCTGCTCTGGTTGGACATTGAGACTTATTTGAATGACTTGCCTGATCATTATTGGACAAAGTTTATGAGGGTGGGTTCTTTCTGATCAGAAAATTTTACCAAAAATAGCATCTAGTGTGTTGTTACTAAAACCTCCCACAAAAAGGACAAAAAAAAATCCCCCTGGATTTCATGATCATGTATCAAATGGACAGGCTCATTGAAAACATGCTCCATGTCACATCAACCATGAATAAATAAACATAAAAAAGACATTTGGCAGATTATTCTAGAAGTAAAATAAATTATGATAGTGAAACAGAAAAAAAGTTATAGAAGTTTGAGTTTATGAAAATGTACAAAGTAAAAATATGATTATTTATATTTTATATAAAATACATATTTTACAAAACATTTTTTACTGTAAAATTGCAAGAAAATCAAAACCAAAAATCTGAACAAGTTGTGTTCCAAATTTGAGGTTGATATCTAAAAAAATGAGCTTTCTATAAGATTTTGTTTGGGCACATAGTTTTTTCATTAGATCACATCCAAGCTTCCTTACTGACCATATAAGGGCGCCTCCATTTCCATATATGGTTTTAGTGATCTGAACTATATTTTTCCATAATTTTCAAACAATTTATGAAGTAGACATCCTATTCAGAAGTAGTATGGGCAGTTTGGATGAATTTGATTTGAATTCAACCTCTAATAAAAGCACAAAAAAACACGTTATAGCTCGCAGCCGCATCACAAATCGAGAATACATAATATTTTTCTTTATATTTAAAAAAAATTCAGCACTTTTTTCACATTAAATTGAATTGGTGTTGTCTTTTGAACTCTTGGCATGAAAATAATCTGAGGTTTCTACCAATCTTTCATGATTTTTCATGTTTGTCGCTATTTCAGAATAAAGACCTAAACACGCCTAATGAGTATGAAATATTCTTGTTGCAATTTGATAAATTATTGCTCCTGTGTAATTTATTTTAAAAAACAATTACCAAATATGAAAACTAGAGATTGTAAGCTTTCAAATGATATATAGTTTGTCAATATTACTTAGGTTTTTACTAAGATATTATTGTTTTAAAAATATAATGGAAAACGTCCCACCTGTGGGACGGTGACAGTTAAGGGGTTAAGAACTAATAAATACATACATTTCCATTTTAGAATTTTGTAAATATTTGTGAAAAAAAGTTTACAGTTTGGGCGGATCCTCACTGTGTCTTTGGATGCTCTTCAGCAGCTGCTGTACAGTAGGCAGTATGGCTCCAGATGAGCTATGGATATTTTTTTTTTTTAAATTGCAATTAAATTTAATGGAAATCAGCTGTGATTTATATATTTGCATAACTTCAATCTGCTGTTTTTCAGTAGGAAAGTAATAAAATACAGGGGATATATTTGTGTTTAAGTAAACAATATGAACAGCTGTTCAGTTTGACTTTAGCCTAGAAGTTAGGTTTATAACATGTTATCTTTTCTGACATACAGTGTGAAAGCATTTGTAAATTTGGCAGTACAATCTTTTGTTTTGGTCTTGGTTGAGCATGTGTGTAAAAGAAGTTCAAGCATTTTAAAATTGTAGTAACTGCATTTTGTGTCAAAGCAACAAGTAATGGGTAAATTGTATAGCCTACACAGACGGATCTTGTGCTGACTGTGTTAAGAGTTTAGGAAAATTGTTAAAGGTATTAAAAAAAATGTCATAGCGATCGTAAAAAAACTAATACAATATAGTTAGTAAGTTGGTATGAGCCAACGCAGTCATTTAAAAATATATGCATGGGACATCTTACCCCCAAAGCATCTAGGTGACAAACAAGAGTAGGAAAAAAACAAAAATGACAGAAGTTTTGGTGTTGAAGTCTCTGAGAGTCACAGATTTTTGCTAAATTTTATAGCTTAGAACAACTCAATATTGCGACAGAAACTTTTAACTCTCCCTTTTCCAGCACTTTAGACACAGTTGCTCCGTTGTGCTTAAAGAGGATTAAAGAAAATAGTCCAATGCCGTGGTATAACGAGCACACTCAGGCCCTTAAGAGAGCAGCCAGAAAAATGGAGAGAAACTGGAAGAAAACTAAACTAGAGGTATTTCGCATTTCATGGAAGGAGAGCTCGATTGCGTACAGAGAGGCCTTAAAAGCTGCTAGATCTGCTTATTTTTCAACCCTATTAGAAGAAAATAAACAAAACCCTTGGTATTTATTTGAAACAGTTGCTAAACAAACGAAAAATAAAGATATCATTAGGAAGCATGGCATTAGTTTTCACTGTTATGCTGATGATACTCAGCTCTATATTTCTTAATGCCCTGACGAAACTTACCAATTCACAAAATTAACGGAATGCATAGCGGATACAAAAAAATGGATGACTAGTAATTTCCTACTACTTAATTCTGAAAAAACAGAGATTCTAATTATTGGACAAAAAACTTCCTCATGTAATAACCTAGAATACTGTCTAACACTTGATGGATGCTCTGTCAAGTCTACGTCGTTGGTTAGGAACCTGGGTGTGCTCTTTGATAGCAATCTTTCATTTGAAATTCACGTGAATAGTATCTGTAAAACGTCTCGGTTACGGATGTAACCCTCGTTCCCTGAGTAGGGAACGGAGACGTTCCGTCGGATGACGACGAATGGGGTTTCGCTTAGAAAGCCAATCGACTTCGAGTACTACAAAACGAGCCAATGGCAAAGAAATGCCATGGGTCTGCGGAATTTGCATAGCGTAAC